ATGTAGTAACCACTGTTCCCTGAAGGAGGGAACGGAGACGCCCATCACCACAGTTGCTATACCACCGCTGAGCTGCCAGGTTACCAGCTCGGCTCCTCAACGAAAACCTGAGTATGCGTTGCACCTGCTGTATACTCTTTATACTCGCGCTGCGAGGAGTGGTAGCTGGATGCAATTATTCGATGCCAATGTGCATTGGCCCGTTTAGATTACACTCAAAGTAGATTTTTCTCTTTGGTGAGATCCCCAATTCGTTGGTCATTGACCTGACATCTCCATTCCCTCCTTCAGGGAACGAGGGTTACATACGTAACAGAGACGTTCTTGCAGCTAAAGGTGGCACAACCAAATTTTAAGTTTAAAAGGCATTAGTTTTTCACATGGGTGATAGGTGTTGGATAAATATTTTTTTATTTAGTTTAGATATACAAAGTTGAAGAATTGCAATAAATATGTATTTTCATTAGCTTTTTTGTGCATCTACCACTGAATATGTTTTATAATCAATAAAGAACACACCTATAGATTTGATGATATTTACTTTTAATAAATGCATTACTAGAAAAATTGCAGTTTGGTTAAGACAAGTTTGTGTTTTGATAGCAGTGTTGACATTAACATTACATTGGAAAAAGTGTCAAATCTACAGAGAAAAACTGCAAAATGTTCTCACCCTTAGGTCATCCCAGATGTAGATGAGTTTGTTTCTTTATCAGAACAGATTTGGAGAAATGTAGAATTATATCACTTGCTCACCAATGGATCCTCTGCAGTGAATGGGTGCCATCAGAATGAGAGTCCAAACAGCTGATAAAAACATAACAGTAATTCACAAGTAATCCACATGGCTCCAGTCCATCAATTAAAATCTTGTGAAGAGAAAAGCTGTGTGTTTTTAAGAAAAAACTTACAAATGGCATTGTATGAATTCATATTAATTAGTCAAAACATAACATAGTTATGAATTACAATGAGATTGTGTTGGCACAGAACACATTCAACACACGTTACTGAGAATTTCTTCAGAAGTTTTTAGAAAACAGAGACATTGGTGCTTTGTTAACAAAAGACAAAACTGCATGACAAACCGCTGATTCTCTCTCACCTCAGCATTCATTCAAAACCTATTTTTGAACTTTTGTTCAAATTGTTGAAAATCAGCTAACATTAGCGACCTAAACAATAACCACCCAGTCAAAATGGACTTGCTTTGCACAAAGGTTTTCATCAAGCCAGTGCGCTTAAATGTAAACATAAAGTCCAAGAACATAAGACCACCTTTGTTTTTCACCAAACAAAATTAGCTGATGGAAGTCTAAAAAAATAGAAAAAATGGCATATTAAACTTTCAGATAGATATACTCTACCCTTCTCTCTCTACATGACACATAATACATTTCTTAACCCAAATACGGTTGAGCCTATTAAAAATCATCAGAGGAATTCCTGTTGAATGCAGATAAAAGAAAATATTTTTCTATAAGTCCTAAGATTGCTGTGCACATCTGCACCTGTGCCTCAGGTCCATCCACATTGAACCCAGTGACATTCCATTGTTAGACTCTTGGCATTTGAATATGCCTGCTATATAAAGTTGTTTACATCATTATTGTAAAAATACTGTACTTTCCAAAAAACTTGTTTACCACACATTACTTGTAACATGTGAGTCATATGTGGCTCTTCAAAGGCTTTATTTATCTACAATATCTTTGTTTAATGTTGCTGAGACTTCTGCTCATTTGACAACAACATGTATTTAAATCTTCTGGTTTTATTTAGCATGTCTGCTCGTGCAATGTGGCAAGGCGAGCTCATCAACTGCAGTTAATATGTTGTGCCATTCGACGCGTATCGTGAGAAACAACAGTGCTGCGGTTGGTGGCCTGAAGAATTAGCCAATCTCACAGTCATGAGCTCAAATGATGCTCAAGACAACAGCGGTGCAAAAAGCTTCACAACAGCCTGCAATAGTCTTATAATGTTCAAAATTAAGAATGCAAGATGGAGTAACAGTGCCATTTTCATTTTAGACATAATGTACTGAGTATGCATGACAGCGATGACTATCCAGAATTTAATATATATTGCAGTTCAAATCTGAGGCCATGTTGAGAATCTGAGAATTTAAACATGCACTCTAAAAAATGCTGGGTTAAATACAACCCAGTGCTGGGTAAAATAGGGACAAACCCAGCAACTGGGTTGTATTTTACCCAGCAACTGGGTTGTTTTGACCCAGCGATTGGGTTAAATGTTTAACACAACCTTCTGGGTAGTAACCCAACCGCTGGGTCAAAACAACCCAATTGCTGGGTTTGTCCCTATTTTACCCAGCACTGGGTTGTATTTTAACCAAGCATTTTTTAGAGTGTGGTATTGAATTTTAGGATTTAGAAAAACTTGAAACAAAGAAAAGTTACTTAAAAAATGATATACACATATACATACATACTGTACAGTCACTAATCAAGAAGGCAAATGTGACCAGGGTTATTAGTTAACTAAACCTAAAACTATACCATAAACACATAAAAAATGTCACTTAAAATTAAAATAAATGTTAACTGAAATAAAATAAAAAAGTATATACAATTATTTATATATAATTTCTCATTTTAATGTAGTAGGTAATTTGATTAAATAAAAAACTAAAACCGAATAAAAAACTGTATAGACATACGTGATAATAATAATAATGAAAATAGAAAATGTTTTATAAAAACGGACTATTCTATTAATAAAACAAGTATCTTAATGATACTAAAATGACATTGCATATGACTCCTTTGTACAGACAGTCAGATGTTTTTGCTTTATCGTATGCATCTTCATTAGAAAATCTTAAATCGTACCGGAAAACATGATCAACTTGAGGAGTTCATGCAGCTGAAGTGAAGCAAAAGAGAGATGAACCAAATACTAAAACATTCTAAAGGTCACGTTAACTGTTAGTTTCACTTTTCACCCAGATTTTTATCATAAACTCAAATAAAAAAAGGTTTAAAAAAGGTTGCATAATATATACATAAAAAAACCAGTTCTCTTTTTCAATGATCTTTATTAGATCTGTACATAAACATCTATAAGCATGCATTGTTTTAGTGAAATTGAACATAAAGCAACAGTGCCTCCTCCTGAGTATCACACACACTGCAACAGGTCAGTGATTTTCAACCGGTGTTGCTTCAGAACTCAGAATGTACATTGGACATCAAGTGGCGACCCAAAATGGTTCTGTACAAAGCAAACAAACACCATTTATTAATATTACCACAAACTTCATAGGCAAAACAATATGCAAAAATTGTTTTGCATGTCATTTGGTTTCTAAATGACTTAAATTTCAATGGTTTCATGCTCTCAGCAGTCAATAATTGAATGCATAATGTATGCGTTTGGCACAATTCATCTCATACAACCTGTCCATGTTACATCTGTCTATTTTGGTTGCTTCTACCAAGGGACAGATGAATTTGCTGCAAAATACAGCTTCATTGGAGCTACAGCCTTTGACTTAAACAACAAAAGATATGAAAAGCATTTTCTCTTTCCTTTAAATATGACTCCACTTATTTTCTGCAGTAACAATGCATGATGCTAAGCTGCATTTTATTATTTACATTAGATCAAGTCTGGCAGCTGCTTTTCATCTCAACAAAAATAAGTGCTCATGAAATGTCATATTTTATTTCTTCATATTTTATCATTGTCGTTTTATTTAGAAAAGCCAGTGCAGTATTGCTCTAGATCATATAATCTCCATGCATAAGAATCAGTCCAGTCTTGACATTTAATTCAGGTTTATTGCATTGCATTGATATCCTTCCTTACAGTAAAAGAGACAAGGATGAGGTAACTCTGGGACCTTCTCATGGGTGAGCTCTGATTCAGCAATCTCTCTGCTTGCAGATGAACGTTTCAAATGAACTGATTTCCTGAAGCAATGGGATGTGCAGTCAAGTGGAGGAATATGACTATATCAGTCTCATGCAGAGGTGAAAAGGCACTGGCTGAAACAGGAGGTACTGAACCTCATTTTACTCGTGCATCTCATCCCACAGCGTCAGCCCTCGCAATACTATTCTATAGTATCACATGCATTACTATTAAATTACATGCTTATAGGAAAATCAACATCTATTAAAACAGCATTTTCCAAATCTATGTTGCTCACAGACTCAGAAGAAAAAAAAAGGCTTCTGAGTTCAGGAGGATTTTCTCTGCCTAAAGCAAGACAGATGGTGAATCGATTTTTCAGAAAGTTTCAGTCTGGATCTCATTTTCTATCAAAATATTATGGGAATCCTTGTTAACCCTTGATCAAATCAGGCACTGAGCCGCATCATACGAAACAGGCCGTGTTTATGAGAAACCAGTTATGAGATTCCATCAGCCCTGACGCCCTTTCAATAATTGATCGAATAACATCATGCATTACAAAAAGTATTGGATGCTACTGGCTGGTGTCTTTCTGATGAACTGATATGTGCGCTGCTCGCTTCCCTGCTGAAGACATCCATCATTCAGACAGAGTGAGAGTCAACAGTACAACGAACAGCATGAAAGATGCACAAACTAATCCATGTCTCAAAATCGTCCATGTCCTACGCATTTCCCTTCAGATCTTTCGAGAAGAAACATGTCTAGACATAAAACAGTGAATGCACAGCAAATAAAAAAATATCAGTGAATAATTTTAATCTAATCATCCTATAAAGCTATCAAATACCTCTTTTAAGACTCGGAATATAGCTTAAAAGTCATATCGTATACTTTTATGATGCTTTTTTCCCTTTGTGGTGGAGTATAAATCCACTTTTTGTTTAATAAAAGAAAAGAAAAAAGTATAGAGTGATATATTGGGTGAGTAAAGACAACATTTTCTTTTTTTGGTGAACTATTCATTATATCAACATTGTGAATAGATAAGATATTTAAAATGTATATTTATATGTACTTCAGTTGATTTAGTCATTATTTTATTTGACCTTAAAAACAATCCTTGAAGCATCCGTGCAAATTTGTCATATATTGAAATGTTTTTGTAAAAATATACAAAGGTAAATATTGCTGTTTATTAGTGTGTATTGTTAAATTGGTGCATATATATATATAATGATTATTTTTCCTTGAGGTCTTTTGAAAAATTGTATATTACAAGCAATATGCACGATAGCTCAATCTGTGCAAGTACGTTCCATGGTTTCTTTTTTGCTTGTTATAGTGTTTCTGAAAACTATGTATTAAATAAATTTTTAAACAAAAATTGACAAATACAATACACATAATAATGCAGATAAATTAAAGACATCCTTGCATGAGAATAAAACGTGTAACTGCATAATAATCAGTGCAAAACACTGCAATACAATTATAGGTATAAAATTTTGTTAGAAATATTAGGCTACAGTATCACATTGCCCCTTGGGAGGTGGAAGAACAAGGTAAAGGGTTCGAAATGCATAGTTTAGGGTACAGTTCTGTTTTGAATCACTCGTCTCTGCTTTACGTGTTCAACAGAAACACAGAACGCACAATGAGTCTGTGATTGAGTGATCATGTGCGTGAGAATGTGGTTTAGTTCAGTCTGTGCTGTTTATAGACCAGTCATAGGGCAGATAGCTCACTTTGACCTTTCCTTCTGACAGCAGAGCCTGTAGAGTCCTCTTCTTCTGTGATGCTCCCATATGATCAAACACCCAGTTCAGCAGCTGAAAAAGAAAACATTAATGTGTTTAAAGACAGAACCGACAACCACTTGCATTGTATGGAAAAGAGCAGCTAGGACATTCTGCTAAATATCTCCTTTAGTGTTACACAGAAAAAAAGAAGAAAAAACAAATGTGAATTATTTATTTCTGGGTGAACTGTTGCTTTAAATGCAATCCACAAGATCATCTTCCATGTGCTTGAATTGAGAGTGATGATATATTTTAGTAATACCTTTTCATCAGTGCCTCCAAAATCTGCCTTGTACCACTTAAAGATCTGGCTAAGTTTCACTTCTCGTCCCACGCAGTCAATCACACAGCTGTCGTCATTCTCCAGGAACGCTTCTGCTGCAGCACGCAACTGACTATCAATGTCCTGAAGTGACACATGCAGGAGATTTTACTATAAAACACAATATGCTTTACACTGTCAGAAAGAATGTACAGTATATACATTTATAGATATTGTAAATGAGAATACTTTGGGTATTAACCTGTGGTGTGTATGTCTTAATTGGAGGGCAGCCCTTTGCACCACAGTTCAGTGCAAAATGAATGAGAGGCTCAACATCAGGAAGTGCCACCTAATGGATGAAGACACACATTACTAATGTTAATAACTTTTACTCCAGTGTTTCTCAGCCTTTTTTGTCTTAAGTACCTCCAAAATTTCAGTACACTACTGTTCAAAAGTTTGGGGTTAGTGAGATTCTTTTATGTTTTTGAAAGCAGTCTCTTTTGCTCACCAAGTAATCAGCTTCGCATAACATGAATAAACTACATTTGAAAATATTCGAAGGTAGAAAATAGTTATTTAAAATTGTAATAATATTTCACATGGTCCTTTAGAAATCATTGTAATATGCTGATGTGGTGCTCAAGAAACATTAATTATTATCAACATGGAAAACAGTTGTACGGTCATAATTGTTTCATGAGTTTTTGTTCAAAAGAACAGCATTTATTTGAAAACAGAAATCTTTTGTAACATGTCTTTACTGTTACTTTTGATCGATTTAATGTGTCCTTGCCTGCTTTCTCACACACACACACACACACACACACACACACAAAACATCTAGCTGACTCCAAATATTTGAACTGTATAAACTGCTATAATCAACATGAATTGACAGGGTTAGACTTACACTTATCTTTCACTAAATTGGTTAAGCCATTAATTAAAAAATATACATTTTTTTACTATTTTAATCTATTTTCAGTCTGACTTTTGACAGCCTAATATATTTTATTTGAATGTATTTTCTAATTCATAGGCTTAATAAAATAAACCTGAAACATTTTTAAATTCACCTGGAAACTTCTTAAACCTCTTAAAATATTGTTGTTGCTAAAAATCTGGTACCTTTCTGCCATTAATCAAAGGCAATTCACAGTTGACATACAGTCTTTAAAAAGAACCAAAATGGGGGTTTTCACCATGATTCCATAGAAGAAAAGAAATTTGGTTCCCTAAAGAACCTTTCAGTTCTTAAAAGAACCATTTTTCTTAGTGTGACGAAATTTGAATTATCTAAAGAACACTTTTCCACTAAAAAGAACCTTGGAATGGAACAAGAATGATTCCATAGATGTTAAAATATTCTTCATAGAACCATAGCTGCCCATTTAAAAATGTATTATATAATATATACACAGAGTGGTATATCCTCTTTTTGGGATACCTGCAGCCGAGGGTCGTTCCTGGAAAAGGGCTTCATGAGTTGTGCCACACCTTTTCGATTGCCTCTAAGCACTCCATTTTCAATATCCTGCAGTGTGAACACCTCACCACCAATGAAGTAGCTCACATAGTTGAAGAACTGGAAAACAACAGACCAAATGCACAAGCACTGAAAGCATTTCACATTTCCACTTTTTACTGTTGATCCAAACACAAAATCTCCACTTCTCTTACCCGATACCTTTGCCATATGTTTTTGGGAAAGCCCAGACGCAGGTTCCCGTGGATGACGAGGGCGTTGTAGATGTTGATAAAGAAAGCCAGTTTCTCTTCACGACTCAGAGACAGCAGCTCCACACGCTGAAGCTGGACAGCTAGATCACAGTACTGCTCGAAGCACAGGCTCCGGGACATGGCCTTGTAATCAACGGTCTAGTCACAATGACATGTACCTTTCTTATTTAAAACATAATGTGGCATAACGCTCCTCAAGTCATTCACCCGCCACAAACATCAAATATCAAGTGCATGCAGCATTCGTGTCTGTGGCGAATCCAATGAACATAGTCTTGCATCTGTTTGATATGCAGCGAGTGATGAGATGGTGAAACGCTGCGTTACCTTGCCATCTTCAGAGAGATGATCAGAGTAGAGTTTCAGCGTCAGATTCCTCAGTGCCTCCGAGAGCTCGCAGGCTGCTTTGGACAAGTGTCACAAAACAATGAGAATAAGAATGACTGAAACAGTCAAACACTAAAGGTCATTTTTTATAACTAGATATTCATTTCCTGAAGGAAATACCAGCACTTGTAATGCAGCAAAAAAATTATAGTGTTAAAGTTATAGGTATGTTTATGTTTTAGGTTTTGGTGTAAATGAAATGCAGGAATAAATCACATATTCAAATAGAAAACAGTTATTTTAAATTGGAACAATACTTCACAATATTACATTTCTTATGTATTTTTCATCAAATAAATGCAGCCTTGGTGAACAAAAAAGACTTCTTTCAAAAACATTAAAAAAATCTTATCGACCCCAAACTTTAACATTAAATCTGATTCCCCATTGCATTTGTGCAGCAGGCATGTTAAAATGTTCAGCATCTTCAAAAAACATATGTTCCACATTTAGTAACACATTTTGATGCAACTTGTGTAGACGTAAATGGAACGCTGTAATTGACACTTGTCATGATTAATTCACTGCTGCACCTGTAACCGCAACCTTGATTATTAATTTAAATAATTGTGAAGCTAATTACAAAAACTAAAAGTAGACAGCACACCTAAATTTGAAAGTATAAAACTTGATAAATAATATTTATTATTATTTATAAATATTATTCTAAAAATAATACATGATAAAGGTGTCTGTATGTTGAAAACTTGAAAACTTGACTGAAGTTTATACTCAATATTAGAGGTTTAGAACAAACTCCGAGCAGAATGATTGAAGAACATCAATACAGTGCTGCCTTACAAACACTTTAATAATAACAACAAGCAGGTAACTAATATCATCATAAATGATTAAAGAATCTTTGAGTTTAACACCAAGCTTCGTGCTTTAGAGACACATGCAAAAAACACAAACAGGTCTAGACAAGCACATTTAAGAAAAGTGAAGACAGAGAGACAGGGTTTCCAATGAGAAGGATGAAACTATAGCAGCTGACCTAAGCCCTTCATTAGGCCGCATGCTGCCGTTTCTCTAGAGGTGAGGGCTGCGTTGGGAACATGCTCCAATAGCTTAAACAAGATGTTACTGTCATCAAACTGCCTTTGTTTAGCCAGTCACAGAGTTCAAATGCTTCCTCACCATCCAACTCTGGGTAATTTCACCTGCTTCCTTCCTATCTACAAAGAGCGAGTGGAGCCAGAACAATCTATGAGAGCCAACACCAATGGCAAACATGGGTTAATACACCATCCATTCTACTTTTCACAGTAAGTAAACATAAAAATGTCTTTGTGGGCAGGAACTCATCATTACTATTCAAGAATAGACTAGGGCTGTGTCTGAACACAGGGTTCAGGTTCGAATCTGAGACTATATATGAGACCTTGAACCACAAAACCAGTATACGATTTATACATAATCTGAAAGCTGAATAAACAAGCTTTCCATTGATGTATGGTTTGTTAGGACAATATTTGGCCGAGATACAACTATTTGAAAATCTGGAATCTGAGGGTGCAAAAAAAATCTAAATACTGAGAAAATCACCTTTAAAGTTGTCCAAATGAAGTTCTTAGCAATGCATATTACTAATCAAAAATTAAGTTTTGATATATTTACAGTAAGAAACTTACTAAATATCTTCATGGAACCGGATCTTTACTTAAAGGCACAATATGTAATTTTCGCCGCTAGAGGGCGCGTATTCAAAATAAACAAAGAGACAAAGGCGTAGTTTGATGACGCCGTGACTGGAGTGTGGAATCGTGGGAGTTGTCGTCTTCATCCCCACAGCCGATGCAATCCGACGGGACTCGGGCAGAAATCATGTTCATGGATGAGCTAATGATTTATTAATGTAGTAGAATGAAGCAGGGTGAGGCTGAAAGTCGTCGAAGCGAAACGTCTAATGATTTTCGGCATAAAAGAAAAAGTTTTCTTTTTTTTTGGCTATTGCTAAAAATATACCCAAGCGACTTAAGGTTTTGTGCTACACTTTATAATAAGCTCGGAAACATTGTAGTTACTATATAAGTGTTTTTTAAATATTATTTATGTACTATTATATTATTTTTAATTGGCTTTTCTTTTTTTTATATTGACTTTTTCTGTTGTTATGTGGTTTTGTCATATTTATTAGTATTGTTTTTATATTTCTATATAGTTTTAATTAATTTTTTATTTGTTTTAGTAAGCTGAAAAATGCTATATGAAGGAAGTTAAAGTCGGCATGAAACGGAAGTAGTGATTGTCTTTTTTTCTCTACTGTGACGTCTATCTGAGTGAAACGGCATCTGAAATGAGAGGGCGGGACTTGATTTCGTCCTTCGGGAATTGATTGGATCGTTGGAAGTTGGGGCGTTGCTAACAAAATGGAGGCAGATCTGAATGCCAGTTTGCAGTTAGTTGTGGGGGATTTCTCTCTACTGGGTTCACCGCCGACACCCTAGCATGAAGAAATGTTTTATTTATTGAGGAAGACGACGACGACGACGATCAACGGCACAAAACATGCCTAACAGCACGCGAGAGAGAGAGACTGCCTGAATGACTGAGCGCGTCCTCCATCAGGTTAAGTCATATTCATAAAAAAAAGTTTGCGATGTCCTAAGAGTAATGTTGTAGTAATATCCTAATATCCTTTCAATTTTTAAGGGTAGTGTACTGCCCCATGGCTTGCATGAGCACTGGTCAATGCATTGATTTCTATAAAGTGACGCATCAGCTTCAGTTTTTCCCCCCCGTTGTTTATCCCAGCGTTTACACCTCACGTCACTAGCTCCGCCCTTGCGTCATAGCTCGTGACCTGAAGAGAAGATGAGTCGTTTTGAGGGCGAGGGGAGGTTAACGTTTTTGATTAAAGATTACGAGGGCACATGAATTAAAAAAAAATAATGAAGTGCACTGATAAATTATTTATAATAAGCACTACAGTATTCCATTAAAAATTGAAAAAATGATTTCATGCCAACTTTAAGCAAGACAGGACTGAATATAAAATTTTACCGTCTACTAAGATTATAAATGTCGATTTTTGTCCTTTATGCTAAGAAAAAAACATTGTAGTCACTAGAAAAAAAAGTATTCTTTTTGTAAATTTTTATTTTACAAAATATTTTTACAAAATATAATATTTTTAATTCTCTTTTATTTTTGTATTTTCAGTTTTCATTTTAAATTTATTTTACGTTTTAGTATTTTTGTTATATATTTATATGTATATATATATTATTTTTTAGTTGTTGACTGACAGGGCAGTGAGGCTCTACAGGTTCTACAGTAAGTCATGACTCGTCCCATACAAATTTAGTTTGCTGTCCTAGTCATAACTAACCTGTTTGTGGCTTTATATAAATAGAGATAATTAATGTTACACCCAAATAAATTCCTTCAATGTTTTGAAAAAGTGTTTCAGTTGGGAGCTGAATGAAGCTGCCCACACCCTTCTCTCAGTCCAGCAGCTCAGTGACAATCACCTCGCTTTACTTCCCTCCCACGCTTCAAATTCTTCTGAATTAGACTAGAAATGTAGAACACAATACCAAAAGTTTTACATCATTTATAAACAGAATTTATGTTAAACTACTTAAATTAATACTTTATTGATAAAGGATGCATTAAACTGAAAGACAAATTACATTTTAAAATATATCTCAATAGAGAACAGTCCATAATATTTCACATTATTGCAGTTTTAATTGTATTTTTGATCAAATAAAAATGCAGCCTTGGTGAGCATAAGATAATTCTTTCAAAAACATAAATAATGTGCAAACCACAAACTAGTAAAAACAAAATTATGTTGATAAAGAGCTTAAAAATAAACGAGCTGGTTTGCACTAAGTAAAGATACTGTAGTAGTCAAAGCAAAAACCTTCTCTGAACTAAAACAGGGCTCTGTTATAACCATTAACAAAATATAACTTACAGTTTCCAGTTGTATAAAAGATGGCCACTAGAACAATAGGTAGACCTTTAGGGGATGGACTGATTCAGTTATCTTTCATCACTATAAACTGGTCTGACAACAGCAGATATCAGTGGAGAAACAGCTGGTGATATGGAAAGGTTGGCTTACATGCAGGCACAAAAAAATCCTTGCCCAGTTACTTAATTTAAAGAAAAAAAAGGGGCAACACAAATAGCAGTCATTCCTTCAACACCCTAGGCCAGCAACAAATATAAGGAAGTACTGTAGAAAACATCTGAGCATGTTTTTTTCTGAAAACAACAACAAGTAGCCTGTTCATGACATACTAACCTCCATCAATCTCACCATCAGAGTCAAGGCTATTTTCCCCAGGTACAGGTGGAGCGTCCAGCGGCACGGGTTCCTCTCTTACTGACAGGACGAGACGTTCCAGTCGCTCAGGATCCTAAGAACCCACACTCACACACACACACACACACACACACACACACACACACACACACACACACACACACACACAAACACAAAAACACACACACACACACACACACACAGAGAGAGAGAGAGAAACACACACACACACACACAGAGAGAGAGAAAAAAAGACACACACAAACACACACAGACACAGACAATTCCCCAGAAGTACATATCAAGCCAGCGGTTAGTCAATATAGAATACATCAGTTCCTGTTTCTTATCTCACCAGGTTCCGGAGGTCCTCGTTGTTTCCCACATAGAGGTTATTGAAGAATATCTGTGGTACGGTACTGTGACCTGTGAGCTCCTTCAATCGTGCTCTTAATTCTCTGTGCTTGTTCACATCCACATCACACACAGGGACACCTAATGTACTCAGAGTAGCTTTGGCCTGTATGCAGTGTGGACAGCCTGGCACCGAGTACACTGTTACCCGTCCCCTCATGACGGTCCCGTCCTCCACCATCACAGGCACAGCACCTGAAAGATCAGAGTAAAAGCATTTGAAAGCTGTCACCTGAATTCCCTGAACATTTCTCACTCACCTACAAGCTGTAAAACTAAATAATCAGCTAATAAACAGGCAAAAAGAAGCACACAAATATATTTTGGTGACTTTTTTTTAACCATTAGATGCAAAAATCCTGCATTAAGACATGCAAGATAAGCTAAAGGTCTGGATGTCTTAACGTTCTTTATCTTAACAATTAAAGCCATAAAACCTAAATAACGTATGCCATAATTTTTGGAATTATATATTGAACTGATATTCAATTGTAATCGTGTTAAAAAAACTACTTTTAATGGCTTTCCCAAACTGCTAAATCAAAGTATATTTATTAATATTTTTTGCACAAATATATTTTGGTGACTTTTTTTTAACCATTAGATGCAAAAATCCTGCATTAAGACATGCAAGATAAGCTAAAGGTCTGGATGTCTTAACGTTCTTTATCTTAACAATTAAAGCCATAAAACCTAAATAACGTATGCCATAATTTTGGAATTATATATTGAACTGATATTCAATTGTAATCGTGTTAAAAAAAACTACTTTTAATGGCTTTCCCAAACTGCTAAATCAAAGTATATTTATTAATATTTTTTTCATATTTATTACACTATTTTTAATGATCTTTTATTTTTATATTTTCAGTTTTAGTTATTTTGCTTCGGTCTTTTTAACATTTCGGTTTAGCTTGATTTCATTTGTATTTTAGTTTTAGTAATTGTACAACTTTTTCTTTCTTTCCCTTTTATGTTTAAAGTTTTTTTTTTTTTTTTTACATTTTTTATTTTATTTCATCTTTTAATGAACAAAATTATCATGCCGTTTTAATTTGAGTTAATATTATTAACAACACTGAAAATGTACTACTGTATTTGAGACATTGGTGGATGCAAAAATTGCAAACATACTTTAAAAGAAATTAATACTTTATTGAGAAAGCACCTCCATTTATGTTTATTTGTTAAAAAAAAGGCATTTTACACAGGTATAGGCCTACTATTTATAGAAAATACTGGATTTTTTTTTACAAAAATGCACGATACAAGCATGGTTCTGCCTGTTACTATAAAATACAGTCATGGTTCCTTCTGTAAAACCATAATAAATACAGTTTATTTTTAATTTAATTTCACATACTTTTAAAGTCTTATAATCTGAGGACAGTGGTGGCTAAATAACAACAGTAACAGTGGGTTTGTGCATTTTAACTCTGGTTACTAAAGTAAACGTTAGTACAGGAGTCTAAAAGACTAGAAATATCCAAGCATGCAGCAGCACTATTATAACAGCCAGCAGTTCAACACAGGAAGCAAACCCAGTTTTTCTCCCAGCACTAGCATGACCCACCACAGCATCGCTGAAGCTAAGCTCACAAACCTTCCACCCAGCCTCCGCCAGCACACGCGCTTCCTCGCGCTGTCAGCGGCGCATAGACTTGGGCTTGTACACCGCTTACAGGGAGACGGAGGTGCTGCGGAGTAGGCTAATGTTCACTAGCTGTAAGTAAACGATTGAACATCGCTGTGCAATGTCACTGCGCCCTGTAATGCTATTCATAATAGCAGCTGAGTGATACTCAAATAACTGAAGAGAGAAGCAGATTACAGCAATGTGAAGCCAGCACACGCAAGGCACCAGTCACTGAAAAAGTCTATACTATAATAATAATAATTAGTATTATTATATTAGAATATACACATATATATAAAATATATTAATTCATTAAAATATATAGTTTGCTCTCTGTAATAAATGTTAATAAATAATTATTTTTATTTTTATGTATATCCAGTTACATGTGGCTTATTAAAGTTTTGTCTTTGCTCATGGGCTTATTAAAATTTTTTTTTTTCAATTGATTTAATTTTTAAAATAGCACATTTATTTTGAATTGATGTACTTGTACTGCATGGATCACTTTTACCCCGAAATAGAGTCTTTTATTTTGAAATATTTTACGTCCAGCAATCGCAACGTTAAACAGTCTCCGGTTGCTTCGTTGCTCGCGCTGCTCGTGTGGGCGTCGAAACGACCCACCCTGCGGGACGAGGAAGTGAAAGAGACACGGACACGGAGCGGGGACGCGGTAAGACCACGGGGCTCTTCTCCATTAAATCATTTATGTGTGCGCTTATAGTTTTGACAAACGCGCTCACGGCGTGTTATCGATCACATTTGATTTAAACGTGTTCTTACGACCTTAATACAAAGCGAGAGTATCTGCGACAGACCACACACAGTTATAACAATGTCGTACATTTATTCAGAGTCTTATTTGAATGTGCTTATAATCATGTTACTGTCACCGTTAAGCTCAGGTTGACCTGTGGATTGTACAGTCGCGTCGCGTCGCGTCGTTTATGAGCTTGGACAGGGCAGTCATTTCCTACGAGATGACCGGACTGATAATGTGCTGTGAATGAACCTGATACTGTTTAACTAAGTGATGGTTTGTGTGTTGACCTCCCTTTCAGTTCCTCATCCTTTCTTTATGTTTCTTCAGGATATAAAGCCACGGATGCGACTCATAATGGAATCTTGTGCCTTTCTGATCAAATCACAAGCTCCTCTTGGTCAGAGATGGGTCTTGTGACTATATCTACAGGCATCCTGCCTAACATCTTTATGAGATTTACTAAGCAGCTGTAATACACTAGTTCACTCACACTCACTCACACTCACACTCACTCACACACACACTCACACTCACACTCACACTCACACCACACACACTCACACTCACTCACTCACACACACTCACACACACACTCACACTCACTCACTCACACACACTCACACACACTCACTCTCACTCACACACACACACATATAAGCATGGCACCAGTCCCACCTGGTATCCGCTTCTTGACATCCTTCAATAGGGACCAGTGGTAAGTTTGTCTCTTTTATAAATCTTCTTTGGCTGTATGTTCACGATTGATGATCAACAGACCCAAATCTGCTCATGCAAAACGTTGCAGATTTCCATAGGGCTGTTTGATTATGGGAAAAACCATAATCATCTTTGGGCAATTGTGGGATCTCAATTACTCATTGACTTTGGAGACATCATGCATTTATTGAACTTTTCAAAACAGAGGATTTCCTTTAAATTAAAATATAACAAACACAAATTATGTGTATATATATATATATATATATATATATATATATATATAT